CTGAAAACGCAATCTGGTCTAATACAGAAAGCCATAGAACTGAAGAAAGCGTTACAAATCGATGACAAACCAAAAAGCCCCTCTCTCCCCATGAACCCATTAGCAGACATTGATGTAGTTGACACACTTGCTAAGAAGGGGACAACGATTTTGCAATGCATGAACCGGCCGATGTCTTTCCACACAATGAAGGCCTTAATCAGGAGAGAATTCCAGACCTCAAGGTGCAACGAAATTAAAGCTCGAACAAAGGAGAAACAGTGGACAGTGGCACTCTCCGGCATACCCGACTGGCCAAGAATCGAAGCCGTTGCTGAGTTTAGACTACGTACTGGACACGATTGCTTGGCAAAACACCTTCACAGATTAGGAGTATACACTCAACCCACATGCCCTCTATGTAACCTACATGAGGAAATGGAGAAGACCCACCTGATTCGGTGTCCAGATCTAAAGACAAGGACGGAAAGCCAAAGATACTGGGAAGCAAGAAGACTGCTAACGAACTGCTATTAATTAACTGCTATAAATGTACCCCCCCCCTTCTTGGGAGAAGCTGAATTCAAAGATTAAGGGCTAATGATAAATATCATAAAGCCTGCCATTTGAAATAAATAAATAAATTATCTCACTTGATTTACGTCAGATCTTGGCAATTGTATCAAATCTTCATCAAAATTTCCAAATAACCTAGACTTGATTCAGGTTTTAGCATTGGCTGTACCGAGAAATCGATATGGCAACTTTCTACAGTGTGTTGGAAAGGCTCCCTGAATTAGCTAAGGCACATCAAACCTATGAAGGAAACAGACTTACGACGTAGAATACGCTTATTTGAGGTTGTCCGATTACAGACTGGGAACATGGTCGTAATAAACATTTCAGGCATGATAGCCACGTAATGACTTGGGCCGTTTATTGGTCGGATAACCCTATACTTGTTTTTGGCCGTTGACTAGTCGGAAGGCCTCTAGTTTCGTAATACTAAAGTTGTGTTCCACAGAGCAGCTGACAAGCTAGTTTGAATAAAGTAGTTCTTCGAAGCTGTGCCCAGCATACGATAGTCTATAGAACTACGAAAGATGCAAATAGGGTACAATGGACTAACTATTACCATCGATTAGGGCAATTTGAGCTATCATTACAGGAACTTATAGCTGAATATTGTTCCTGAATCAGCATAAAAATACTCAAGGGTTGACATTTCTAAATGGATTCTGAGAATGAATTGAATTGTAAGTACAAAATGAACATTAATTTAAACTCGTCCCCTTCTAAGCCTAATTACATATGATTTTATTCTTTTCAACAGTTAAGGCATTTTTATTAGACAGCTGGTTAGGGGGGGGGGAGGTTACATGAAAAGCTACATGAGGTCAAAGGTTAAGTTAATATCACGAAAAAATGAACATTATTAGTTCACTTTTAAATGCGCTTATATGCATGTATCTATTTGAAAGAAAAACATCTGCATAATCAAACAACTAATCCATTTTTTCAGTTTGTAAGATTTTGAAAAGTATAAGCAACTGATAGAATTCAATAATTTCATCGACTTTTGTTAAATATATAAATGACCTATAAGCATTTAAAATAATTCCTAGAAACTGAAGTATCGATATGAAAAATGCCTTGATTTCAACTAAGGTAACTCTTAAATGTATGACAGTTTGAAGCCAGTCGATAGTTCGCAGCAGTTCTCTGACTTAGTTGTTAAAATATCTCCTAGGATACAGACCCACTATGGCTTTACATTGAAGTTTTGAAGGTATAGGCTCTTATTAATCCATAGCGAATGATACGTGATATCCTTTAATTTCACCCCTTAGATATGTAGTGAGGGCCGTTCAGGATAATTTTTATTAAAACAATTTTGTTAAATTTGATCTTAGCAAGTTTTATAGTATATGCTATGAGTCTTCCGAAAATCCTATCTAATAAGTTCAGTTATTACCTATCAACATATCATTATTTCGTTATGAACAAAAGCGGTGTTGATAAAGGTGTGATATATTTTTGAAAGAAATTGACAAATAGTAACAACTCATTGACTCTCTGTAGGTATTCGTTAGCCTCCATTCAACGATTAATTTCCCTACCAAATCATATCAATAATTGCAACCATATAAAGTTAACCGATGCTTACAAGTAATCTAGCTATTTAAATTTATGATAAGAGAAATGTTTATTTATATCAAATGGCAGCGTTTGATAATTACCATTAGCCCTTTAGTTGACTTCAGTTTTCACAGTGGGGAAGGAACATCAAAGTGAAATAAAGTCGAGAGGATGGGACAGAAGAGTGTTGCAAATACGAAAAAGGGACAAAAAAATTTTAGAAAAAAGTGAGATGAGCACTGTAGAAGTAATCGAATATGACACAGTGGGGTGATAACAGTTTGAAAACAGAAGTCAACTACCGATTAATAGACTATTTTGCCATATGAGTATACGTTGCCTAGGGTGCATCACGTGAAGTTAGGTCTATCGCATATCCCTGATAGGAGAAATTTTTATTTGCCTACCCTTTGCCGTACTTCTTCCATGAACACAAATGTTATTTGGTTTTTGTTTTTCACTGACAAATAACACATTGCCGTTATGTCCATTTGAATAGGCCGATATAGACTGAGTTTAGCTGTCGTTTGTTTGTGGTCATTTATCATTATATACGTTAAGCTATGTTATGATTTGAGTACTTGACTACTGTGTTAAGTTGTTGGGAATAAAGAAGTATCGAAATTGGTTCAATCTTTGATACAGTGATTATATTAAAAATTAACTTGTTCCATAATTTCCACTATGTTAAATTATCTGCTCCGTAACCATTGCTAAAGATTACATAAGAATATTCAAACAGTGGGACTTTGACAATATCAAAAGCCTCTTTGACCATTCTATTCGTTTTAGATCATATTGTATTACAGTTTGCATCGAACTTTTAAAATAAAGCTATCTTACTAGGTTTCGTCATTTATTTGACCGTAATTTGTGCAAGAAAGGTATCTACCTCAAGCTTATATCTTTATTACTCATTGGACGGAAATTGTAAGACAACTAACAAGGAAGTTAAATTACCTTATAATAAGTGGCTATTGATATAGCTTAATTGTAGGAAAAAAACACTGAATAGTAATTCAATTTTTAATATTTTTCAAATATAAACAGATTCTTTTAGAAAGCAGAAATGTTATCACATACAAGATATAATTTCGAATTAGCTTGGAAATATTCAGAGTTATAAGTTAAAAATATAAAATGAGTTAGCTTTACTAAACTAACAAATTCATAAATAGATTGAAACTTCCACTCTTTCGAGTGTCATCGATGGTGATCTGATCTAAAGCAAAATTTAAATAAAATAGTAAAAAATAAACAGTTAAAATTTTTCACCAATGTTTGGACTCCATTATAAATAGCATTAATTAATAAAAGAGTTAATATTTTAACCTTTTCACTTTTATCTTAAGAAATTTTACTTTAAATAAATTACACACGACGCGAAAGTTTAATGCCACGCTCCGTTTCTTGCGTTGCATATTTGTGTACTTTTTGTTAATTCGAGGTTAGATTCTCCTTCATATTGGTTTCATATTTTCAGCGATTCGTAATACAATTTCTAATTTATGAATTTTCTGTAGCTCTTGATAGAATGACCACAGATTACTGCGACCGATCGAATGAGCTGATGTTGTGTGCTCAGCTGCTTCATCAGAAAGTGATGTCAGGTCGCGTTATCTTAAAGCCTCGAAAAAGTCGACCCGGTGCAATCGAGGCCTACTTTGGTCATACTGTTCTTAAGACGCAGCTCACGCCTCTTATTTACCAAGCTTCCAATAGTCTTTCTCTTGGCCAAGCTAAAATGAACCAGATCAGTAATTTAACCGAAAGACTAACATCTTCACCAACAACAGACAAAGTGCTTGCCACTAGTATCTTTAATCTAACACGAAACCTTCAATCAGATGTATTAGCTATCAGTTCCTTCCTACAACAAGTTGCCCGTGTTTCCTCTGAGGTCCAACGTGAATTCGCTGGTCACCCTCAGGTGTGTAAACATGTTAAATCTCTCGTCTCAGTGCAAGAAAGTCGATTAGCTGAGCTCTCACGAAGACTAAGGGACTATATGGAAGCAAATAAAGTTATTGTGTCAGATCAGTATGAGAATATACCTATAGTTACCGCTCCGTTAATTGATCCCCCTCCTACAAAGACCTCTTTTCTAATTCCCCCTGTGGTTCCTCCTCCGCAAGCGAGCAACAAACGGCCATCTCCAGGACCTTATGTAGAAGAACGACGAAGGGTTAAGTTCGCTGTTACTTTTTCCAGTTCTTTAAACCATTATTATAAATTCTTTTCTCTTTTATGTGCTATGATGAAGATGCATTATTTTTAGTTAGTTCTTGGGGAATATCTTTTATTGCAATGCTAATCAACCTAGAATCATTCAGTTCTCCTCCCAACTGAACTACTTGGAGACTAGCCATTAAATGGGGCCATATTAAGTCTTTAATCATTATTTACTTAGGGACGATGTTTAATAGTGTGGACATTTCGAGTAACAGTTAGAATCGAGTTAGAGGCGAGATAATTCTTAGAGATTTTATTATTTGCTACTTTATAGTTGTTCTGTTATAATTAGCTGCTAGACCTAATCTTGACAGACCTTCAAATTAATTCAGTTCGAACATTTTTTAGTTATTCAGTTAGATTGAAAATGTGCATTATTGTTTTGGCATTTTCCAATCATGTTTATTATGGTGTTTTCAAAATCCCGATGACGTCATTTTCGTCGTCTTTATCAGGGTTTTAGCATGAGTGGTAGGCACTTAACAGTTCGGAACAGATCATTTGCAATGCTTAATACTTTTCTCACTTCCATTTGTATCTGCTCTCGTTCACCATTTTACTTTTTGTGCCTCTGCATTCTTTCACGTTCACCACGTATATTTAGTTTGCTAAGTTTAAATTATTGGATGTCTGGACGGATGCAATCGGTATTTACTTGAAAAGGAATCGATTCATTTTAAATTGGTAAGGTAGTCATTGCTTAGGTTGTCTATTACTTTGTCTCCATTCACATTTCCATTCAATGTTCAATTCACCTGCTCCTACATTTTATTTTTCTGTCCTCTTATTACAAATCTTTTTGTCCCCTTTAACTCACAAAAGTTAGAATATTAATATTTTAGAACTTTCCCGTTAATCGGTAATTTCTCGCAAGTGATATTTTCTCTTCAGGATTCAGTGTCTTAGACTCGTTATCATTTACCATTCTAGCTGCACTGTTTGTTTCGAAACAAGAGCATACACAGTTGTTGGATAGTTGTTTATTAAATAGGCATTCGAGTGACAGAGAGTTTGATCTACCATTGTTTATTTTGCAATAGATAGAAAGATGCTGGGAGACTTTCAATTCAACGAATGCCCTCCCCCTTTTTTGATAAAAATTGCAATAGTTTGTGATCTATGGAAATGATTGTCTACCTGGTTTGCCGCCACTATATCATGGGATGTGGACATGGGAGAAAAGTAATGGAAGACTTCATTACGGGTTTTCCGATTTCTGTTCACATAGCTTTTTTTAGGTTACTCCGTCATTGAGGATATTTCCCCCTTTCTGTTGGCACCAAGGATATTGTGCTGAATCAGCTAACTTGATGCCCAGGTTTGTTCTCAGTAGATTCTTAATAAAAGATCTGTTGTCCTTGCAAGAGATTCATTTTGATTCTTCCTTTCAAATCCTTAAGTATCTATCAGATTAACATCTTATATGAAGTTTCTAATAGTATTTTACTGTGCAATAGGATGAAACCGACGCTCTCCTAATTTCTGATCAGGCCTATCCCTATCACCAGCATCAGCAACAACAAATGGTTGTGCGACAACGAGAAGCCCAGTCAGAAAACGCAACATCGATTCGTCAAACAGAAGCCACAATCGTTCAACTCGGTCAAATCTATGAACAATTTGCCTTTCTCGTTCGTGAACAGGCGGATGTTGTTATGCGCATAGATGGCAATGTCGAAGACGCGGCTGCCAATGTCGACTTCGCTCATGTCTCTCTGGTGGAATTTTTACGACACATTTCCGGTCGCCGGGCTTTTATGCTCAAATTCTTTGCCGTTCTTTTAGCTATCTTCGTTCTTTTCGCTATTTTCAAGCGATAATTTGATTACTTTGTGTTCAATAAATCTGTCAGAACCACCTACTTATTTTATTTCAGTAGCTTTGACTTTATATGAATAACTTTGGTCCACATTTCAGTACATATGACTTCAGAAGTAGAAAATCAGGAGATTGCGAAGCTTCCACAAAAGCGACTCTACAGGCAGAGGGCTCATTGTAATCCTTGGGCAGACCATTCCTTAAATTATCCCACCAGACCAGATTTATTTCAATGGGGAGTGCTCTTTGATGGTAAAGAAGAGCCACCAGTTACTATGGTCGATATTGGTTGCGGTTATGGTGGACTTCTATTCAGCCTCTCCACGCGGTTTCCTACTTCCAGGATTGTTGGCATGGAAATTCGACTCAAAGTAATGGACTACGTGCAGGTAAGTGGTCAAATCGAAGGTCGCTATTTAACATGTCCGAGTTGGCTTCTTTAAATAGTTTTAGTAAAATTTAGATTTGTAAGATTTCAATTTCACTTGAAATAGTAACGATCCTTTGCTATTTTTTGTGTTCATTTAGTGTAATTTATTTACAACAGTTTGTGCATAGTAGAATTAAGGATGATCATAAGATTTGCATCACTTAGGGGTAATTGAATTAGCAGTTTAATCATTTCGAAAATGGAAAGTAACCACTACTGTTTAGATCTTAAAGTCTTAAAAGTAGTATCGAGTAAACTTTACTTTGATGTCTGTTATGCCTTGGGTTTCATTTATTTATTTATTTCAAATGACAGGCGTTTTGATAGCTATCATTAGCCATTTAGCTGACTTCGGGCTTCACAGTGGGAAGGAACATCAAAGTAGCAGAAAGTCGAGTGGCGGGGAACAGAAGAGCGGTTCACAGATGTAAAAGAGGCAGACAGACATAAAGGTAGGGAAAAAGGTAAGATGAGTACTGTGGAAGGGGTCGAATATGGCAAGCAGTTGGGCCATGGTATTTTGAAGTCAGAAGTCAAATGCCGGTTAATAGGCTTTTTTGCCGTATGAGTATACGCACACCCCTGGCTGTTCGGCTGTTT